CAGGGGGTGGGAGGTTGGGGGAACCAGGTGGTGGGTATTAGAGAGGGAACGGATTGCATGGAGCACTGGGTGTGGTGCAAAAACAATGAATACTGTTACACTGAAAATAAATTTTAAAAAAGAAAGATACCAGGGATTCCTGATGAAGTTGTCAAGTCACACAGTGGTCACTAGATTAAACCCTCCTTGAACATTTTTCCATACTTCTCTCCTTAAGAAAAACAAGATCAAAAAATTATCTAGAGGTACCTGGCTGGCTCCATGGTGGGAACATGTGGCTCTTGATCTCCAGATTGTGAGTTTGAGTCCCAGGCTGGGTATAACGATTACTTTAAAAAAAAAAAAAAACTTTTTAAAAAATTATCTAATCGTATTGTTTTTTTTCCCCTTTGACAAGATTTGATATTTTTTAAGATTTTTTTTTATTTTTTATGTTTTATTTTTACGTTTTTATGTTTTATTTTTATGTTTTTCAGAGTCCATAGTCTCTCCTGGTTCATCTCCCCCTCCAATTTCCCTCAACTCCCTTCCCCTCTCCATCTCCCCATGTCCTCCATGTTATTTGTTATGCTCCACAAATAAGTAAAACCATATGATAATTACTCTAATCATATTATTAAAAAATCAAAATGATCTGGAGATCAGATCAGAGAGCTCAGCCCTGACCCCTGGCACACTCTCCCCTGAGAATACATTTGTGACTGTTTTGTTCTTTCCTCCACAGACCTGACCATTGGTCAACTCGCCCTTACCATCATGGCCCTCAACTCCTCCTGCCGAGATCCTGGGAATAAAGTGTCAGTTCTACAGAGACAAATGGAAAGCTGGCCACCCTCAAGTAAGACCTCAGCAGAAGGGAGGGAAGGGTGAGGCAAATGGTCCTTCCTGAGAGTATTAAACCCAGAACAATAAAGATGGGTGAGGGGCACCCAGGTGGCTCAGTGGGTTAAAGCCTCTGCCTTCAGCTCAGGCCATGATCCCAGGGTCCTGGGATCGAGCCCCACATGGGGCTCCCTGCTCAGAGGGAGCCTGCTTCCCTCTCTCTCTCTCTCTCTTTCTCTGCCTGCCTCTCTGCCTACTTGTGATCTCTGTCAAATAAATAAGTAAAATCTTAAAAAAAAAAAAAAAAAAAGATGGGTGAGTGGAAAATGAGGGAGGGGATACAAGTTATCTCCACTCAGGATTCTTCAGATAACCACACAGTGAGATATTCACTTCGATTCCAAATGTACTAGAGAAGATCACCATCCTGGGAAACAGACTTATGCCATCACCTGAAAACAGTCATCCTTTTTATTCTCTTGTCCTGCTGGGTGACGGTTCTTATTCTGAGAAATGTTAAAGTTAGCTTTTGCCAATATGGAGTCTTTCTTTTTTGGATAGGTTTTCTAGAAATTTCTACTTTAAAGGTTTGAATTTTACCTTTTTCACAGAAGTCCTCATTATGGTGAATGTTAATCTTACAGAGACCCTCTGTCCCCTTCCCAGGTCCCAGTGCTCCAGCTTCAACCTTCTATGGGCCCAGTCTGGCAGTCCTGGCATTGTGCCAGGAGAACCCAACAAGAGCCTTACCCATAGCAGCCCGCTTTGCCAAGATCCTGAGGTTTGGTTCCTCCCCCTTCAATACGGGTGAGTTGGTTGTCACTTCCAAACACTGCCCTGAGCTGGGAATATCAAGGACACTCGGTGGGGGGGGGGGGCAGGAGGGGAAAGTGGGAGGGGGAGCTTTACATGGTGGAGGAGCCAAGGGTCAGGAAAATGTCTGCAGATGGAAGGCACTTAACAAACATTTGCTGGACATGTGAATTAAGGAATAAGTGAAAGGGAGACGGTAAAACAAAGAAACCAGGGCAATACTTGAAATGTCTGACAATGACAGAATCTCTACTGGGAACAATAAATATGTCACACAAGTCAGCAGTTATTCCCAGACAAATTCTTAAATTATTAAATCAATGTCTAGACTCAAGTCTTACCCTGAAACCTTTTTTATTAAAGATTCATTTATTTCTTTCAAATAAATAAATAAAATCTTAAAATATATAAATATATATATAAAAGATTCATTTATTTATTTTATAGAAAGGGAGAGCAGGGAGAGGGGCAGAAGGCAAGGGAGAGAGAGAACCTCAAGCTGACTCCACCCTGACCGCAGAGCCAGACACAGGACTCCATCTCACGACCCTGAGATCATGACCTGAGCCGAAACCAAGTCAGACACTTAAATGACTGAGCCACCCAGGCCCCCTGAACCCTCTCTTTTATCACTACTGATGATTCTACTCTCTGTTCCTCTCAATGTTTCTCCTTATAACACCCTGATATTCTCTTTCTAGTAAACAGATAATCTCTGAACCCTAAACCCATGATGCTCCTCCCCTTCAAGGATACACTGGAATCATGTTACTTCTTCATTCCGTAACCTTACGGTTGCTTGTCAAGAGAAGCTTTTTCCCCTACAGCACCATGTCCTTTTCTGTCCACCCTTCTGCAGGTCATGATACCTGTCCTGAATAACACCCTCTCTGTGGACATTATCACGTGCCCTTCATTCATGGTCACCTTTCCTCCTTTGGACTCTCAAGCAATAGCTTGAGATATCTCAGGTTTTCACCCCATTAGCCACCCTGCCCCTGCAACCTCTCTTGTTTCAGGCAAACTTTCCCATTTAGTCTCTTTCAGATCATAAGCAAGTACTCTAGTGCCCTCCCTGTGGCTCAAGAGCAGACAGGTCTCCGTTTTCCATCTGGGACCTCATGCATTGCTAGTGAGTCTTTCAGTTCAGGAGATTTGACTTCTTGGCCACCAATGGTTTCAACAACACTGTCATCCTTAATGAGGTCATACTATTCAGGTGGTGATTATAGGAGGGAGAAGGTCAGAGAAAGAAGTCATCTGGCAAGTCTTTCACTTGTTCTCTCTTGTCCTGCCATAGCTTGCTCATTCAATCCACATACACTTTCCCATGCAAATAATGAAAATGCCCCTGTGCCAGGTGCCCTGGGGGGTGCAAAGTTCCCACCATCCAGTTGCTCACAGAGCAGAGAGTGCTGAGATTGCAAAACAGGTCCAAACAACACATGATAAAAAAGCTCAGGAAAGAGGAGCACCTGCATGGCTCAGTTAAGTGTCCAACTCTTGATCTCAGCTTGTGTCTTGATCTCAGGGTCAGGAGTTTAAGTCCCACATTGGGCTCCATGCTGGGTGTGGAGCCTACTTTTTGAAAAGTTCAGAAAAGAGACTATACCTGTGGCACTGGGCAGACCAAAGAAGGTTTCACTGAGAGGTGGTAATGGCCGGGCCTTCCAGAACCGGTGAAATTTTTAAAGATAAACACTGGGACAAGAAAAATGAGACTGAATGAAGCACCAGTCTACATGAATTAAAAACATGAGCCTTCGATCTGGGTTCAGGTCCTGGCACTGCTACTTACCAGCTGTGTGGCCTTGGGCCATTACTTGGCCTCTATGAGCCTCCATTTCCTTAACCCTCCAGTGGAGTTCATTATAGGTCCTATCTCACAGGTTGTCCTGAAGAATAAAGGAGATAATGTAGTTGGAATGCAAGAGCACACAGTAAATGTTAGTTGTTCCTATTGTTGGGTGATGGTTTTCTCACCCACCTCCCTCCAACCATGATTCACAGACACAGGAGCTGTGGCGACCTTGGCTCTGACTTGTATGTACAACAAGATCCCAGGAGGTTCAGATGACGGTTACAAAATTCTGTTCAGTGAGGTACTACAGGAAGTCGTGAAGAATGTCAGCATGAGGATCAAAGACAATGGCATCATTGGAAACATCTACAGTACTGGCCTTGCCATGCAGGTAAACACATCACCTATGCTTCTTTGTTGAGCCCATGCCAGTATGATAAGACTGGATTGTGGGATCAAGACACCAGGCTTCTTATAATTATATCTCTGGGGAAGACAAGCTAGTATGACTTGAGGTAGATTACTTGTGGTGTTTGTCTCAGTTTCTCTACTGGTAAAACGCAGGTGTTAATTCCTCCCTACCTCATAGGTAAAGGGTGAAAATAAAATTATAAGAATTCCTTTCTCTTTCTTGGAAAAATAAATAAATAACTCCCAGGAACATATCATGTTATTACTGATAATGTTCAGTGTGCTCATAATAATCATAGATTGATGAAAATTTGATGTATAAAAAATAAGATATTAAAATAGGCCCTCAAAAAAATGAAATTTTCTAATTCCATCTTGCCAGTCAAGTGTTCTTTTTTTCAGCCCTTTATCTTTTTTTTTTAATTTTTTTATTTTTTTTTAATTTCTTTTCAGTGTAACAGTATTCGTTGTTTTTGCACCACACCCAGTGCTCCATGCAATCCGTGCCCTCTCTAATACCCACCACCTGGTTCCCCCAACCTCCCACCCCCTG